TCATTAGATTTATATCTTTTGCCCATTCATTATCCCTCTATCTCTTCTTATAATAAAAAGAATTTCTCCTGAAATCACTAATAAGAGTATGATGCCTTTCTATCCTCCCCCTAAGTTAGTAAAATTAACATTCAACATAACAAATACCCAATTCGGTTCTGCTTGGTACATTCTATCCACCAAAAATGTTTAAATACATTGTATCCTCCTTTCCTTCAATATTTTATTACATTTTAAAAATCAATCATTATTAAAAACTTCAACATTTTAATTTCTTATTAAATCTTAAACCATTCTAATTTACTATTTCAAATATAAATGTTACAATACCATCTTCTGTACCTAGCAGAATCTTTCTTACAGAAGTTTATATTTCATCCTTTGTCCCTAAAAAAAATTCCTCTTCTCCCATCCAATTTTAAAACTTTGAGGCTTTTCTCCGCCTTTCCCCTTTCTTTCTTCCCCCACCAAATCTTCCTACCCCCCCTTCTTCTTCTAACCTCTGCCTTGCTGGGATCCCTTCTCTGTTGTGTTCCCTTTTTCTCTTGCTTGCTATCATTATATTTACTTTGCATCATATTTTTCTCTTTCTCAAATGTTTTTTTAGATCTTAAGTCCTTCATTTTCCTTGCTCTCTTCCTTCCTTCTTCCTTAGATAAGTTTTGGGATTCAATAAAGATGGCGTCTTCGTCTTTTCCTTGTTGTTGTTCTTCTGGAACAACTTCTGTTTCCATCTGTTCCATTGTCTGTTGGTAATTGACCAGCGCCATTTCTAGAAATAGAAAAGCTTTTTCCATACCATCTTTGCAGGCTGCTTTTGTTTGCTCATATTCATCCCTCAGGTCTTCAAAAGGGAAAGCCATTATAAATAAATCTTTTCTTTTCTTTATTCCTCTTTCTTCTTACACCAACCAAATATTCCGAGAGAAAGGTAAAACAATCCCAAAATCCACAATCCTCAATAAATCCAAGCAAGCCAAAATTCCCCCTTCCTCTTCCAGGGGTGGTATCAAACAAATAAAAAAAAGTCCAAATCTATATTTTAAAGCCTTATTAAAATTATATTTCTGTCCTCAAATCTTCAAGGCATCTCCTCCAACAAGATCCAAATTTATATATTTTCTTTATCCTCTCCCTTCCGGCTTAATTCCGTCGGGAGGGAGAGTAAACTTTCCTTTCAGCACCTCAAAATAGCCGCTTTTTTTCTCTTGTGGAAAAAATCATCAAAAAACCATCTTTTCCAGGAATTGAATTAGATAAATCTCAAAGCCCTGGGTCGACCAAGAAGAACTTTCACTTTCAATAACTTTCTCTTCTTCCTCCTGCGCATACTTGCCCGGCTGCCGACTTCTTTGTGGCGGCCATTACGGACCGCCGCTGCACCGTCCTGGTAAAAGGGGGTTCTGCCGGCCAGGGAGGGGGTCTGCAACACCCCCAGACCCTTCCTCCGGATCCCCCTTACTTTCAGCTACCCCTGCAGGGCAGCCTTGCTCTGCACCCGTCCGGGTCGGAGCCCCAAAACGGCTAGCGCGGCAGGGATCGCGCAGCTTCGCGAATCCCTACCGCTCGCGAAGCCGACAAACCGGAAAAACCAATAAATCATCATCTTTCTGTTGTCAGGTGCCTAAATAACAAAATAAGCAAACGACAAAATGGTTTAGAAACTGAGCTGCTTTTCTGCTTAAACTGCTATTTTGAGAGGTTCTCTCCAGAATGCTTTTAGCATCTGACATTCCCTGAGGAAACTAGGAAAAGAAGTAAGATGCTTTCTCAGCATTTTAGGGCATCACCAACAGATCAATAAAACAAATGTTTGTGGCTGCCATATGCCGAGGGTGGACTGTGTTATTCTGAAGCTCTATGGAACATACTGATAACTTAAATATCTGTTATCTAGATTTGGAGCATCCATGGAGAAGGGGGGCCAAGAGTCAAGCTGTGAGTCATAATCGAGGTTCTGTCTCTTTTTTCTATAGTTTTTAAGTTTTGAGCAGTTGAGAAGAAGGCAACTTCACTAGCTTATCTTCTAAAAAGCACATTTTATGACTGTCATTGTTGTCAGCCATTCTGTCGTGTCCGACCTTTGGCCACTCCTGACCCTTAAATCAGCACCCTCCAGGCCCCTCTGCTTCACACTGCCTCCTTCAGATCTGCCATGGTCATTCCAGTGTCATCCTTTAAAGCAGGGGTTCCCAACTCCTGGGCCACGGACCAGCACTGGTCCTGGCATGCCAGAAACCAGGTCACGCAAATGAATGAAACCCATTTGCACACATGCGGGATGTAGGCAGCATATGTAACCATGCCTCTTCCAGTCTTCAGAAAAGCATTTCTCCACGGATCACAAGTGCCTAAAATGTTGGGGGAAACTGCTTTGTAGTGTCCAGCAGATGGATAGTAGGGCAGCCCCTTCTCTTTTTTCCATTGATCACTCCCAGTATGATTGACTTTTTGAATGAGTCAGTTTGCATGATATAACTAAAGGAGGACAGCCTCTGTTTGGTGATCTTGACTTCAAGTGATATTTTTGGTGAGATTTGGTTTCTTTATTATTTTTGCAGTCCATGAGATGTGTAATAATTACCTTCAATCACTTTTGTGACTAGCCACACATTAATGCTGCAAATGGGAACCCCTTTTCCATGACATGCTGTCAATAATTTTTGAGTATGACAGTTAGATGTAGCCCTCAGGACTACTGAATTAGCATTCAGGAATTGCCGAATAAGGTCAAATAAGGGCCACGTGAATAACAGGCCCCATCTGAGATACTCAGACAACTGGTGCTGGGAAAAGTCCTATGAGTGTAACATAGAAGAGGGCTCAGTTCTTTCTGTTGTTTATAGAATTTACTAATTTAGGAGTAAAATAGCCCAGAGTCCCAAAGCTGCAACCAATTATTAGAAATCTTGACTGTGAGGTTCCCCAAGACTCTGCCAAATGCTCATTTTTAATGCAACAGATGGGGAAGATGGTTAAATATGTAAGGAGTTACTGTTAACTGTCTTCAATTGCTTTAGCTACAATTTAATTACATTTATATTTCAATGAAAGGACACCAGATTCCTTTAGCCCAGACAACTCCTTTGTCTTCATCTGTGATGGCCCTCCACCTGATTCAGGCACATGAAAGGTGCACAGTTCATAAGGCCTTTTTTTGTGGTGGAATATAGTTTGGATTCCGAGGAAGGAGGGTCTGCTTCTCAGAGGGCAAAGAGACAATGGAGCTTGGAATGTCTGGAAGGCAGGAAGAGGGCAAAGGCAGCCCCCTCCCAGCAGTTCACAGAATATATCTGTAGTTATGCAGATAGTTGCTTTAGTCTGGCAAAATTCTGTCTACAGGTAAACAACAATATAGAAACTACTCGAAACTAACTGTTATTCTTGGTTCTTGGAGCCTGACATTTTTCAATATCCCATACCTTTTGCCTTTTGTTATTACACTCTTGTACTCTTTCGGTTCCTTCCTTTTATCTTTCCTCTTATGATCACTCAAACTCTAACAGTGCATTCAGGTACAGACAGAAAGCAAGAATCTCATTGCTCAACTCAACTCAAATAAAGGAGACCCCAGGAGAAGATCTAATCCCTTCAGAGACCATTAGGAGTAGCCTAAACTTGTGGGCTCCAACTCTGGTCTTGCTCTTGCCAAGGCCCCAAGGATTGGGGGCTTACAGTCATTATCCCCATATATAGAAAAGGAGAAAAGGATGATCCTGCCAACTATAGACCAATCAGCTTCCTCAACACAATCAGCAAACTCTGGGCAAAACACGTACAACAGAAACTTCAGTCTGGCTGAAACAAGAAGACATACTTGCAAAGAGAACAATCTGGTTTTAGGACAGGCTGGTCTTTAATCAATGCATTCAGATAGACCAGTCTTCACTTGGGTCCGGTTTTCTTTTTCTCCTTTTAAAAGGATCCAGAGGAAGATAATGGAGAAAATGTCACTGTAATCCATTTGCTAACCTAAAAACTAATTCTGGTTGAGAGGCAAACAATTTAATTTGATTTATGGGTTTTTGCTGCTGTTGTTAAGGAAAGAAGCAGAAAAGCATCTGAAAGCAGTATTTAGACAGCAGAGGGCACTGGTTGACTTTCAAGTAAATTGGCTTTTGCATTGCCCATGTGTTAGTAGGCTATACTGATTTGATTAAGCTGGAGGAAAGCAGAAATCAATTGCTGTTTTATCAGCAAAAACAGATATTTAGCAAAACCAGCAGTGGATGCTTGATATGTACAACAGCATCGACAAATGCTTAATAATCAAAAGGGATTTATATCAGTTTGGAATATTGCAACCCGTTCTGGCCATCACAATACAAAAAGATGTTGAGACTCTAGAAAGAGTGCAGAGAAGGCCAATCAAGATGATTAGGGGCCTGGAGACTAAACCATATGATGGAGGGAGGGAGGTATGTCTGGTCTAACAATGAGAAGGACTAAGGATGATATGATAGAAGTCTTCCAGTACTTGAATAGCAGTCACAGAGAAATGGGGGTTGACCTATTCTCCAAAGCACTTGAGGGCAAGACAAGAAGTAATGGTGGTGGAAGATGATTAAAGAGAGAGCCAACCTGGAACTAAGGCAGAATTTCCTGACAGTGAGGACAACTAATCAGAGGAACAGGTTGCCTCCAGAAGTTACAGGTTCATGAAGTTTTCAAGAAGAGTCATTTGTCCAGAATGGCATAGGATTTCCTATTATAGGCAGGGGGGTTGGACTAGAAAAGCTACACGATCCCTTCCAATCATATTTTTCTATGTTCTATTTTGAACCAGTAAAATGGCCACATGCTTCTTCTGCATTACATCAAAAATCGTAAGTGTGACTCCAAGCATAGAGAATTCTAAATGAAAATTTTTGAAAATTTTGCACTGGGTGTAGCTAAGCAATAACTCTTTCAGTGAACCATGGATGGACAAAGGAATGCATTTTTCAATTTTGGCTTGACTCAACATTTCATTGCTTGGATAACATTTTGGCAGGACTTACCCCCATGACTCTGGAGTCCTTCTACCCTATAGACTTTAACAAGGGACATTCTCTTAGGGACACCCAGCAGGATATCCAGGTAAGACATTCTGGGTTTGTTCAATTTCAGCTCCCTGAAATATCAAAGTCAAATAGGTACGTAGGTTGGAGAGAAGGATTAATAGATATATACGCTCCATCAGAAATTTATAGCTTAGTTCATACAACATGTTCAAGCCAAGGATTATCCAGGATTCTTAATATAATTAATATACACTGGGCTAAAAATACATTTTACTAAATGATGCATAATAATGGTGGTTTTGTTTTAGTTCATTGTTTTGAGTCACTTCAGATATTAGGGATCTTTGGTGCTCACTGAACTTGCACTAGAACTGATGATATTACCTAGCTGGGTGATGAAACATATGCAAGAAAACAACCAAAGTCAGAGAGCACTTAAGGACCCCTCATTTTAGCCCTGAGCTATAAATATTTGCCTTTATCAGTCACTCCAGATATTGTCTGTAAGCCATTAGACAGCTACTTATGATGATAAAATTTAAAACCAAAATACTGTATGAAAGATTAATTTCAATGCATTTTGAACAATGGTCATCATTCCATAGTATCACCTAGCTGTATACCTAATTACCACTGATTAGTTTGCAATCTGGAGCAATGCTCTTATGTGAATCAAAACTGCAGGAACTCAATGAATATTGTTTTCATCACACAGACACAAAATGTAATCACCACCAAAGGGTCTGGAGTGTTCATCTTATTCACCCTAATTCCATGACTATATAGCTTCCTTCATGCATTGGGTCAGTCTTCCTTTATCAAATGTTTGGAAATTTCAGCAAAGGCTAGAAAAAGTGGGGAAGAGAAAACAAAAAGCTCTGTTGTCAGAAGCTGAAGTAGTACCTGAGTGCTGATGGAACATCTGTGAAGAGCCTCAGAATAAATTCCCCTTCAGTGTTTGGAGAAAATGTGGTTGGGATCAAAAGGTATCGGCCTTGCTTGAGAAACACTTTTAAATACACGGTGCGATTGTTCAGATAGGTGAAGTTAGTTATCCTCTCTTGTATTTTCAACTGGTGCAAGCGATATTCTCGGTTATCTTCCACCTAAGGTTGGAAAACCAATGTAGATATGACATGTTCTTACTCACAGAGGACTTGGCTTGTTAAAGGCTATTTTCATGTGCTGGGTTCCAACAGTTAAACTCAACTGCACTCAAGAACTGCTGTTCAAGAAATAACAGAAACATTATTTCAAGTTGGGAGGCACCTTAGATAACTCTTAGTCCAATCCCCTGCTCAAGCAGGAGACCACATACCATGTCAGACAAACAGCTTTTCATTCTCATACATACTGCTAAGAGAGTCCAGGAATGGGATATGACTCCTCCTCCTGACATCATAGAGCTGGATCTGCCACTATAAAAACCATCAGCCTTGGCTGCTCCCCATCTTTTTGACTCAGGTCATGACTTAGCTCTTTGTCTCTGGAAGGTTGTCTGAGTTTAAAATGAGTTTTAAAGAGTTTTAAAGAGTACTTGCAGAAGCGTTTCCTTTGCTTTTGTGGCTTGCTGCTGTTCCCGGGGATCCCTCCTCAGGGCACAAGCCTGATGACATCAGGGATATGGTGGCTGTTGCCCTCATAGCTGAGGGGTTTCATCAACTCCTGCAACCCCAAGGGGGGCAGTCCCTGCTTTCTTCCTTATCCCAGGGGGGCTCTTCGTCTTATAGAAGTCAGCGGCCAGCTTACTCAGATGGGGGGGGGGGGAGAGGAAGAAGATTATGCTAACCCTTCTGATCACAGCTGTTCCTCTCACTCTGAGGAGGAAGAGGGGGAAATAGTGGATCACAATATGTCTGAGGAGGAAGAGTTTAGAGCTGATCAACCTTCCTCTTCTCGGGTTTTCAAACCTTCCCTCTTCAAACCTCTCTTGCACAAAGCCTTGGTTATAGCACAACTGACGCCTGACGAAGTGGCCCCAGAATGCAGACGGCCCCTACAGTGATTCTCTGTTCACCAAACCAGTAGTTCATGCTGAAATTCTCCCTTCCCCCACTATATTCTTTGATTTAGTTAAGGAACAGGGAGCCTCCCCTGGGTCTGGCCCTCGGCCTTCTTTGCATGATAGGTGTTTTTACAATGTGGGCCCAGCCTTAGCCAATGCCCTGACTGCCCCTTCAGTAGATGCCCCAGTGGTTGCCTCCTTCTCCTCATCAGGCACGCCCACTGAACCTGAGGATGTGCTGAAGGCAGAAGATAGAAGGTCTGGCAAACTCTCAGGTGCACCCACCAGGCTGCGGCTTGGGCTATCAGGGCATCTACAGCAGCCTCATTTTTCACAAGATCCTCACTCCGCTGGCTCCAGCAACTACTAGAGAGGCTCCTGGCCACTGATTTCAGGGCACATCAGGATCTTAACAAGATAATTGCTGCTGCGGAATTTACAGCAGATGCGACCTTGAATTCTGCCAAATTTGCCTCCAGGGCCATGGCTTCCTCTGTAGTGGCCAGATGGCTCCTTTGGCTGTGGAATTGGCAGTCGGATGCGCGTCGTAAATGGAAGTTGGCATCAACCCCTTGCTCTGGAGAAAAGCTGTTCGGAGACGCTCTGGAGCCTTACTTGGTCGAAACCAAGGACAAATGCAAGATTCTATCTACAGCAGGGAAGAGATCGGACTATCGTCCCAGTCCATACTACCAGTCCCCTTCCTTCAGGTTTGAATTCGCATCGCGATTCTCCAGAGGCCAGAGATCTTTCCCACATCACCAAGAACAACATCCTGAGGCTTCAGGCAGGCAGCAACAGGCCCATGGTAAATGGCCCTTTCGAGGGGGAGGAGGTTTTTCGTTCCGACGCTTGAAGTAAAGACCCGGTTGGACCCCACATCAGAGGCCGTTTGGCTTTCTTTGCTTCTAGATGGGAGGAGTCGACATCAGACACCTGGGTACTTAAAACAGTGAGATTTGGTCTGCAGCCTGAGTTTGTGTCTCCACCCCCACAATTTTTTGTTTGATGTCCTATGTCAAGGGACAGCTCTAGACGGGCCCTCATGGAATCGGCCATTAAACATCTGGTCGATATTTGGGCATCCGATGGAGCAATGAGGACTGGGTTTCTACTCTTGCCTCTTTGTGATCCTGAAGGCCTCTGGGGGATGGAGGGCCATACTTGATCTGAAACTCCTAAACAAATTTATTCCATACATGCATTTTAAAATGCAAACTCTGCATTCCATTTTAGAGAGCCTTCGAGAGGGCGACCTCCTTTCCTCCATTGATCTCACGGAGGCTTACCTCCATATTCCTATCTGGCCTCATCATTGTCAAGTTTCTCCGTTTCTGTTACCAGAATGTCCATTTCCAGTACTGGGCCCTTCCCTTTGGTCTTTCATCAGCACCCAGGGTCTTTACAAAGGTGCTGGCAGCTCTGGCAGCTTCGCTGAGGTCTATTCCGTTGAGGGTCCAGTGTTATCTGGACGACATCCTGATCCAGTTGCAGTCGGTCAGATCTGCTCATCGAGACCTTTGCATCACACTACAGTGCCTGTGAGACCACGGCTTCTTGATCAACCTAAAGAAAAACCACTTCTCCCCTATGACCAGCCTGTTGCATCTCGGGGCGATCATCGATACTTCCCACTGCTAAGTTTTTCTCTCTCCAGACCACGGGAAGAGGCTCAACGCCCTTGTCATCCAGATCCGATGCCAGCACACCATTCCCATCTCTCCTGTCTCAGCTCCTGGGGAAGATGATCTCCTGCATTGGCATTGTCCTGTGGGCCCGCCTTCATGCCTGTGCGCTCCAGTGGTTCCTGCTGCCATTCCAATGGGCAGGCACCAGCCAATTGTCCATCAAAGTGCAGGTTCCACTGCAGGTCCTTCGTTCATTCAGGTGGTGGCAATCTCAGGCAGTATGGCAGGGCCTCCCCTTCAAGGAGCCGGACAGGGTCCTGCTCACTACGGATGCCAGTCTTCAAGGCTTGGGAGCCCATCTAGAGGGCCAGATTGCTCAAGGATGCTGGTCTCAGGGAGATAGAGCTTGCCCTATAAATTGGCTCGAACTCAGGGCCATTTTCTTGGTCCTGAAACATTTCTGGCACAGGGTGGTGGGTTGTCACGTTCTAGTCATAACAGACATTGTGGCTGCAAAGGCCCATGTCAACAGACGGGGGGAAGGGGGACCAGGTCCAGGGTCCTCATGAGGGAAGCAGAACACCTGGGGAGATGGGCAGAGAGACATTTTCTGTCCATCAAGGTGGATCACATATCGGGGGTCGACAATGTCCAGGCCAACTGGTTGAGTCGGTTCCAAGTCGATCATGTGGAATGGAATCTCCATCCCTCATTATTTCTAGATTTGTCCCACAGGTTCAGTACCCCAGCAGTGGATCTCTTCGCCACTCCCCTCACTGCTCAGGTAAGCAGATTCTTCACCAGGTTTCCGACCCAGGGAGAGGAGGGGACCAACGTACTTTGGAGTTGCTGGCCTCCAGGTCTCCTTTACACCTTTTCCCCTCTTCTGGTAATTCCGGTTGTAATCCGGAAGTTGTTGGAGGAGAAGGCGGAGCTGATTCTCCTGGCCCCCCATTGGCCCAGGAGACCCTGGTTTGCAGATCTGGTGAATCTGTCTGTAGACCAGCTGTGGAGGATCCCGGACAACAGGATCTCCCTGCAGCAGGGGACCTTGATTCACCCGGACCGTCAGTGGTTCCGGTTAGCTGCTTGGTGCTTGAGCGGCAATCTATGAGGGAGGCCAATTTTTCTGACAGGTTGATAGACACCATTCAGGCCTCCTGCAAGCCGTCCACCTCACACATCTACGATGCTACCTGGAAGGTCTTCTGTTCGTGGACTGTTAAGTCAGAAATTATACCTTCCTCTGCTTCTGTGTTGGAGGTATTAATGTTCCTCCAGGATGGGCTTGATAAAGGCCTTGCCCCAAATACTCTTCACCGCCAAGTTGCAGCTCTGTCAGGCTACAGAACTTTTCCCATTCAATCAACTAGAATGAACTTCTGAAAACGTATCAAAACGTATCAAAAAGGAATCCTTTATTGAGATGAGACAATTCATGTAGGGGTTAAAAGCAGCGTCTAAAGTCTCTCAGGCATGCAGAGATAGATAAGGGAGTTTAAAACCCTTCCCGTTATCTTGATATGTATTTAGTGAAACAAAGAGCCAACATGTTAATTCCCCCTCACCCCCTTTTTAGAACGATCTTTTTCAGAGTTTCTCAGGACACATCTCACTGTGGAATTTTTATGGTCTCTTCATCTCCTGGCTATCTCTCTCAGAGATGATAGGTTCCGGCCATCTGGGTTTCATCTCTCCATTGTATCATGTGTAGGTTATACAAATTCGATATAAGATTAAATATATTCAGGTTACATCAAGAAGGATTTCTTTATCAGTCTCTCCCCCCGCCCTTTTCTTCTCCATTGAAGAAATGACAGAGACACCGATCTGACAGGCTCTTTCCTCTGCTTTGTCCTGGGAGGGTTTTGATTCTTTATCTCATCATCCCTCTGTACGCAGGTTTCTATGGGGGGCTGCCCTCCCATGGTTCACAGGTTTCCCACATGTAATCTCCCTAAAGTTCTACGGGCTCTCATGAGTCCTCCCTTTGAACCTCTTAGATCAGTGTCTCGACAACTCATGACCTTTAAGATGGCATTTTTGGTGGCCATCACTTCAGCCAGGAGGGTGTCGGAGTTGGCGGCCCTCTCCATTTGACAGGACCATTGTGTGTTCTATGAGGATAGGGTGGTTTTGAGGTTAGATTCCTTGTTTGTTCCTAAGATAAACTCCTGGTTTCACCAGGTGCAAAAAGTTGTTTTGCCAAATTTCTGCCCAGGACCACAACATGAGTTAGAGCACAGTTGGCATAAGGCAGGCCCTCAAGATCTACATCAAGAGGACTGCTGAATTTAGGAGATCGGAGGCTATGTTTGTGTCATTTCATCCCACCTGCTTGGGCTCCTTCTACGATTGGGAGGTGGATTCGGACTTGCATCTCCAAGTCCTACCAAGTTTTGTCCCTGCCAGTTCCTATGAACGTCATGGCTCATTCCACTAGGAGTGTGGCTACTTCGGCTGCCTGGTCTTCTCAGGCTTTGCTGGAAAGATTTGCAGGGCTGCTACCTGGGCATCTCCATCACCGTTTATACGACATTATAGGTTGGACTCCTTTGCTTCGGTGGATGCCTCGTTCAGAAGGAGGGTGCTTCAACAGGTGGTTCCACAGTCGGAGTGACCTACCCAGACGTTGACCCTCCCATGGCATGCAGGCTTTGGTATGTCCCATTCCTGGGCTGTCTTAGCAGCGTGTATGAGAATGGGCATTGGTAGAATTACCTGAGAACGCCCTTTCTATATATGCTGCAAGAGAGTCCAGCCCCACCCTAGTTCGTCTGGGAGGGGGTGTTTTGTTATGTTTACTTGTTTATCTTGCAGAGACACATTATGAGAATCTTCGCCTAAAAGATGGCGAGCAGCCAAGGCTGATGGTTTTTATGGTGGCAGACCCAGCTCTATGATGTCAGTAGGAGTCATATCCCACTCTTGCAGCGTATATAGAAAGGGCGTTCTCAGGTAATTCTACCAACATCCAATCTCTTCTTAAAAACTTTCAGTGTTAGAGCACCCACACCTTCTGGAGCCAAGCCCTTCCACTGGTTAATTGTTCTCACTGTCAGAAAATTTATCCTTAGTTCTAGGTTGCTCTCCTTGATTATTTTCCATCCATTGCTTCTTGTCCTGCCTTCACGTGCTTTGGAAAATAAGTTGACCCCCTCTTCTCTGTGGTAGCCCCTCAAATATTGGAACATTGCTTTCATATCACCTGTTGTCCTACTTTTCACTAGACTGGGCATGCCTAATTCCTGCATCTGTTTTTCATGTTTTAGCTTCGAGCCCCCTAATCATTTTTGTTGCTCTTTTTTGTTTTCTTTCTAGAGTCTCAACATCTTTTTTATATTGAAGTGACCAAAACTGGATGCAAATCTATGTGAAAACAATCTTATAGGTCACCCTTGTTTAGCTATGATAATTGGGACTGGCAACTCTGTCACATATGAGCAGAAAATCATATGATTTATAATGACAGTTCTGGTTGCTTTGTTAAGCAAATCCTGTATGGTCATAAAGCATGAGATCTCATGACCACGACTTACAACTTCCTGCCAGTTTTCCCATTTACTTTGCCTGCTGGAAGCCAGCAGTGAAGGTTGTAATTGGTAATCATATCACTGAGAAATACAATAACCATTGTAATTGCGCATTGATTGCCAAAAGCCCCAAGCCACAAAAATGGGATTGTGGGGACACTGTAACAGCTGGAATTTCATGGATCACTTGTGAATCCCATTTGTTCAGTACTGTTGTAATTTCAGTTGCTGAACAGGTGCTAGTTAAGTGAGGTCTACCTGTACATGAAGATAGAGCTTATGGAATAACAATAAGAAAAATACAAAATACATGCTACATCAATTCTTCAAAGCAATTGTCTTGAGTACAGGTGGATGGAGACCTACCTTGAAAATTTCAAAGCCTATAACAAGATTATCTCCTGCCCCTTCTTTCCGGTGAATCCGCTGGTCCTTCTGCTGGAGAGAGATCAAGACTTTGTCTTCCACCTTCGTAACATCAAAAATATACTGAAAAAAAAAAAGAAGTACAGAGAAAACTGCTATGAAAGTGTAGGTTATGAAAACAGACAATCAAAGGGTTGGGAAGCAACTGTTACTAAGGCCTTGTGCAGGCTGATTGACATCTTAGATCTTTCCAGTGCTATATATGTGCCTGCATATAGCAACCTCACATGGCAGTTAATGCTACTTTCCCCAACTAAGTACAGTCCAGATGTTTTGAAGCTCAATGCCATAATCTCCCAGTTTGAAGGCTCTTTGGATGTTGAAGTAAATACTTGGAAAATACTAAACCTCCTGGAGATTAATTCTGAGTTATGGGAATTCTTATCAGCCTTACTGATGGAACCTTGGAAGATATCTGATTGGCCAATGTTGGAAGTTGGAATGCCAAAAACATGTAACCAGGCAAACTCCAGGGCTGTTATGTAGACAAATGTGGGCAATGAATAGGAGGTGGATCAAAGTTCAACCTGTAGAATGAAACTCAATGATTAGTTTTCCATGCCAGTTTTATTCTTTTTAAACCTTAAGGCGCTGAAATGATGCTGTTTATCTTGGGATAGTTGAGGGATAAAAACTGCATGTGACCACTTTCAAATAAAGACAATTGACTGTGAATCTGATCTTTGGCCATTTTGATACCAAAATTTCTGATGGAATTTAGTCACCAGACTGTATAGTTTCTCAAAATGTCACAATGCAGATCATTGCAGAAAATAAAATACTGAAATAGTTTTAGAAATGTGTACAGTATCTGGAGAAATAATCAGTTTAAATGTTGCCTCCTAAGGCTTTGGATGCTCCATCACTGGAGGTTTCCAAGAGTAGATTGGACAAACCTTTGTATGTTGTATAGAGTATAAGGACTCCTGCCTTGAACAAGTGACTGGACTAGAAGACCAACGAAGAGGACAAAAATAGAGAAGAGAGAAAAAAAGAGAAAAGGAGGACTAGGTGTGATTAAAACAGGTTAGGTGGAGAAACAAAACCTCCACGATTCTGCTGAAGACTGGGAGAGCCTGAAACCTTTTCAAGTAGCAAGTGCGGAGTTGAAGCAAATGGTTCCTATAACAAAATGAACAGGTGTTTACATGGACAACCTGAGAGTTTGGGGGTTTGGCTGGGCAAATTATTATTATTTAATTCTATGAACTGGTGTTTGGGAACCATACTATGCAGCGTATTCAATAAAGAATTAAGATTTTCAGAAATGGAATGAACCTGGAGTTTTATTTGGATTCTTGAGCTGGATGTTGACATAATCCTGGAGTTACAATCACAACTGAGACCAGAATTTCCATTGCTAAGCAAGGTGATTGTTAAATAAGTTACACCTGATTTTAAGACTTTTCTGCCATAGTTGTTAAGCAAATCATTGCAGTTGTTAAGTGAAACCATAGTCATTAAGTAAATCTACCCTCCCCACCACAATTTTGCTTGTCAGAAGCCAGCCAGAAAGATTGCAAGTAGAGATCATATGATCCTGGGATGCTGCAACCATCATTAATGGATGCCGGTTATTAATTGTTTGAATTTTTATTCGTGGCTGTGAGGATCCTGCAACAGTGGTTACGTGTAGGGACTGGCGGCCAATTGCTTTTTTCAGTGTCATTGTAACTTTAAACGATCTCTAACAAATAGCTGTTAAATTGAGAACTATTTTGTAAATCTTTCAGCATTGGAGAGATGCTGAAGATAAAAATGCAAAATGCAAGATAAAGTAGATCATAGAACATAGTTGGAAGGAAACTCAGAAGTCTTCTAGTCCAACATCCTGCTTGAGCAGGAGACCCTATATCACTTCAGCCAAATGGTTGTCCAGTCTCTTTTGGAAAGCCTTCAGTGATGGAGAACCCACAACTTCTGAAGGCGAGCTGTTCCATTGGTTAATTGCTCTCACTGTTAGGAAATTACTCCTTAGTTCTAAACTGCTTCTCTCCTTGGTTAATTTCCAACCATTGTTTCTTCTCTTGCCTTTTGGTGCTTTGGAAAATAGTTTTGTCTTTGTAGGAGCCCCTCAAATACTGGAACAAATATGTTTAGGTTTAGGTTTATGCCCACAGAAGAACCAAATTATGTATGCATCAAATGTAAATTATTATGAAAACCTGAGGGTTTTGGAGAAAAGTGGCTTCGTTGTTTAAACACCCTCCAGAGCGATTTAATGTGGCATTTGGATTCTTTGTCCACTGTCCACGCATCATTTTCTTTTCCCAGGTCTTATGGATACTGAAGAAAGAGGTGTTCACAATCCGACAAATGTCCACATCAGTGAAGTTTTTGCACCAGTCTTCAAATGTCATCCTGAACCATAGTGTATTAAAAAAGAAAAAAAATCCCTAAGCACATTATTTAATTAATAGTGGGTGAGTGAATAGAGAATGTTTCTTTTTCATAAAAAAAAAAATAACCCTTCCCAAATGTATAGTCCACGACCTGAAATCAGCTGAGGCTGGAAAAACAAACCTAAAATTATTTTTCACCCTTTTTCCATCAATCTTTACAATTCTTTTTCTGACGGTTTGGAGTAATGGAGCTTAAATTCTTTGGAATCCCTGCAGATGTACATATGAATTATTAAAGAGCAACCAGAGATCCATCAGGTTTGCTGAATGTCACTTCCCACAATAATTAGTGGTCATATTTTAATAGTCACTGGTGCTATTATAATATTTGGCTTTATTTTAGCTAGCAAGTTTTAACCTTTATGCTTTTCTAAATGAAATATTGGTCATTGACTAAAGTTAAAGAATAGACCGACTTGGTTTTATACATCTGACCGGGTTAATGTTCTACAGGTAGTCCTCAACTTATGACCATAGTCAAAATTAGTAGTGTTAAGTGAGATATTTGTTAAGTGAGTTTTGTCCCATTTTATGATTTTCTTACCATTGTTGTTAAGTGAATTAGTGAAATTGATAAGTTAGTAACCTGGTTGTTAAGTGAATCTGGCTTCCCCATTGACTTTGCTTGTCAAAAGGTTGCAAAAGGTGATCATTTGACACCGGGACACAGCAACGGTCATAAATATGAACCAGTTGCCAAGCATCTGAATTTTGATCCCATGATCATGGGAATGCTGCAAAGATTGTAACTATGAAAAAAAAGTCATAAGTCACTTTTTCAGTGCTGTTGTAACATTGAGCAGTCACTAAATGAACTGTTGTAAGTCAAGGACTATCTGTAGTTGTATGTTAGGTTGATCAACTACTACAGGGTAAACAAAATACCAAAGGGTCATCTATTTGCTACTCAAAGGCTAGGATTCTCTGCCATGAGTAGTCATTTTATTTTTTCCTACACAACTAAATTATACAACCCTAAATGACTCAAGGTCTAGCTATCTTTGAGGTTGTCTATTCTCCATCAAATCTCTCCATCTGGTAAGATCTGGGGGAGATCTTGATGAAGATGCTATCTCCAAAGGAGTCTCATAGCAGGTTCTTCTCAAGAATGGTGTCCCACTTTTATGAAGCAGCTTCTTCTGATATATTGAATTACCTCTGACCAGATGTGTTTCTATAACAAAATTAAAAGATGGATTTGGGAAGAAAACATTCAAGGGATGTTATGAGTTTCAAGTTGGTGAGTATCATTATAAGGCATGCTGTTGAGTGTTGAAGTTTTGCATTTTCTGTTTAGTTCTTCCTATGTTCACTGCTCTGTGCAATTAGAAGTTGAATGGCACAGAAGAGAGAATGGATGAATGATAGGAATTTGTAACAGGAAAAAATAGTTTCTTGTGCAGAGAAGACAACACCATTAAGGATTATTGAAAGCAAAACTAAATATGACATGGACATTGATTAACTGAGCTCACCAAAATTCTCCGTTATTTTCAAGGGTGAGACCTAATCTTGTTCGCTCTGATTTGCTCACTTTTTTCCATTCCTCAGATCTAAAAAAAGAAAGGGGAAAAAGTTAAACAGCCATTTTATCCATTTTTTAATAATATAAGAATAGATGTGTTCAGCTACACTAGTGGTTTATTGTGGACAACCCAGCCTGCTTTGACTCCTGCTCAAATGTCTTTAAGAAAGATAACCTTCCAATTGGTATTCTTTTGTGTCCTTTAGCCAGAGATGCTATTCCAAAACTTTTGGGCAATTTCTCAATGTTTTCCCTCCTTTAAAGGGAACTTTTTAAAAATTTCATTCACAAAGTGTTGGACTTAAACTTTTCTCTTAATAATGCTTTGAGTTTTTTCTTCCCTGAGGATCTGCACAGGGGGCACCAGTTTAGTATTTTCTTGGCATGTCTTCCCATCACTCTAAGCCAGTTGCTTACTTGTCACTACCCACAAAGGCCCATATGTGAAGAGATCCTTCTTATGTAAGCGGGAAGAATCAGGATCACACATAAGTTGCAGTTCAGAAAATTGTTCATGCCTATGCACAAGAATCTAGTCAATAACCATCAGCACTAAATTGGCACCAGATAAGAGTTCAGAGAATTCAAGGGAGGTTGGACTTGGAGTATTTGTAGACATGCAATGATTCTAGGCTTAATCCTCTCTTGACACAACTTCCAAGTTCTCTGTTCTTCTCTGACATCTTGTGATTTAATGGCAGTGCATAAAGTCAAAGAAATTCTAGATCATAGGAGAGAGGATTGTCCAGTAAGACTCTGTCCAAAGATTACCCATTCATCTCAACCATCTCTCCTTATTGATAAAGAAGAACATTACCATGATTCCATGATTTTTTAATCAAACTTGTTTGCTTTGAAATACTTTTGAAAGCAATTTTTTCCCCTAGTAATTTATACCTTGGCCACCTGGACATTTCTCTCTTACTAGGGAAAAGAGCAGTTTCCTCATTAGTTCACATAATTCACCAGTTCAAGTTTACTATAAGGTTAAGAGGCTTTTAGATGGTGTGGGAGGATTGCTGTCTTAACTAGTTGAAGGATAAACTGTGTTCTAAAAGTGAAAGTAATGCATTTGCTGAAATTTCTGTAACTTGAACCTAGTCTCTCCAATAAACTTTCTAAAAGGAACCCAGGGAAAAACTTCTTTTCTTTTTAGTGGGCTATCAAAAGCCTGACCCTGAAGGAGAGCTGACAGGAAAAAAATAAATTATAAACTTGAATAAGTTGATTTTTTTGATAATTTGGATAAACTTGGATAAGTTGATAAAAAAATTATATCTGCAGTTTGAACTAGTACAAATCCTTCCATCTTCTCATGTCATCTTCAGCCTTTCTTTGAACCTGATGTTCAAAGGTAGTTGAGATTAGTTTAAATTAAATTAATTGTTCTGTCAAATTCTCCATTGCTTAACACCAACTCAAGTAGGGTCCAGGGTATAGCATTTTAAGAAAATTTAGAAAACTGAACATCAGAATTTTTGTTAAGATGCCATACTGGATCTGGATACAACTACTTCAGTTGGTGTTAAGCAGTGGAGAATTTGATGGAACAATTAATTTAATTTAAACTACTTTTGTTGAAAATTTCTGAAATTGCATTTGTTTTTTTAACAGTCATATCATACAACTGGTTCATATTCAGTTTGCAGTCTACTTACTTTCAAGATTTTTTTTTTCACAAACTCTTTTAGCAAATAAACCATTATTTATTTACTCATCCTCTACATTACCATATTTTTGTTCCCTAAGCGGAGAATTTTCACATATTGAATTTCATTCTGCTTTTTCCAGGCTCCTTCTCTAACTCATTAACAACATTTTGACTTTTTCTCATTTTCTACCATATGCAATATCTAACTCAGTGTTTGTGTCTTCTGTAAATATCTAAGTATTCTTTCATCCCTTCATTATAGTCATTAAGGAAAATAAATAGACTTGTATTTTCCCCCTTTATATATATGTATGTATGTATGTATGTATGTATGTATGTATGTATGTAGTGCCTCCGAGTCCTGAGCCTGCATTCTTAGAGGAAGAGGATTCGGAAGATGATGATGAGGAGGAATTGGGAATGCCTTCCTCCCCAGGACCTTCCTCTTCGGCAATGCCTTCCTCCCTGATTGTGCCTCAGGTGTCGGCAGATAACCGAGCGGGACAGCCTGAGGCTAATCAGGAGAAGGAGGAGGGCATATTGGAGCAGCCTTTGACAGAGAATCAAGCAGATGAATGCTGGCTTGATGCAAGGCAGCGTCGCAGGCAAAAGTGTGGGCTGCAGCGCAGGAGGCGTGGACGAATGAGAGAGTGAGCTGAATTAGTGACATGCCCCACAGGGAATAAAAGTGGGTGTGTTTGCTCTGGGAACTTCGTACGGGACAACGTGTGACTTATTCAGAGGAGCTTAGGTGTATTCTGTGTTGTGACAGCTTGTGTGATTTATATTCCTGTTTTCTTGTCGGACTTGGCAGACAGCGTGTGTGAGACTGCCAAGACCATTATCGGCTCAAGGAATTAACTCTATAATTACTGGATTTGCTTGCCTATTTGTATTCAGTTGGAGTTTGGACTTCTCACCTCCTTTTAAAGGTGAGACATTATATTTTTTTCTTCATCCCATTCTGGCGCGTAGGCTAGCACCAAATTTAAAACAGAAACGGCTGTGAAAGTCTGACTCACAGATGAACACTATACAGAAGCCTGATGATGGCAGATGAGATTCTGCTGAAACGTTGCTACAACTTTAAAAGCACAACTATAATGACGTGGGAAAATACCCGAACAAAGCTGAAGGCCATACACACACACATACACATACACACACACACACACACACACACACACACACACACACATATATATGTTTTCTTAAGTTTTCGCGGGTACTTACATGTATGGTGTTTGGCTTGGTTCGGGTATTTTCCCACGTCATTGTAGTTCTTTTAAAGTTGTAGCAACGTTTCAGCAGAATCTCATCTGCCATCATCAGGCTTCTGTATTGTGTCCGTCTGTGGGTCAGACTTTTACAGTGGTTTCAGATTTAAATTTGGGGCAGCCTATTGCTGTGCCAGAATGGTTTTTTCTTCATCCTGATTGGTTGGGAGTCTTGGTCTGTGTTTATTGGTCTCGGAGTTTGCTGTGTTCTGCTTGATGGGTGTCTCTGATATCTTCTGTCTGTTTTTTGGCTCTTTTTGTATCTTGATTGGCTGGCAGCATTGTGTTACTTTAATGGAGGCCTTTAGTGCAGCTTGGCTTCGGGTAAATGGACGGCTATCATTAGTTAGGAAGCTGGGTTTCATCTGGGTGCCTGGTTGGGGTGTGTTTGAGCTGGAGGTATCAGGGGGGATCTGTTTGTGCCCAGGTGTTTGCCTGGCTTGTGGTGTGGAGATTTTTTTGTTGTGATCTCCACACCACAAGCCAGGCAAACACCTGGGCCAGACAGTCCCAATTCCAGCAACCATTCTTTTATATGTTTTAGCCTCCAGTCCCCTAATTATCTTTGTTGGTCTTCTCTGCACTCTTTCTATAATCTCAATATATTTTTTACATCATTGCGACTAAAACTGGATGCAGTATTCCAAGTGTGGTCTTACCAAGACATTATAAAGTGGTATTAACATTTCCCATTATCTTGGTTCTAATGCTTCTTCTCATTCTTAAAGTATGGATTACTTACTCATCACTCCATGCTCCTTTCCATTCCTTGTTTCCCCAAGGATTCCTTAATCGGATCATGAAAAGTTTCTCAGACTTTCCACTGCACAGGTTCTTCTGTCCAACAGACATTTTCAGAATAGATGTCACTGAATAGGCATGACCTTTCACTAAACCCACATCCGTCTCTACTTCAAAATCACTGAGGGATGAAGGCTAGGCATAAGATGAACACAAATTAATGCAAACTTTCATTGTGGTTATTGGTTTCTCCCATCAATAGCAACCTCTTCTAAATATTGCTCCATCAGACTGTATACTATTATTTACTATCAGGCTAAATGGGATATTACTGTTCTTACCTACCTCTTAAGATATGATAAGAACCTCCAGAACTTGCTAATGACATATGTCAGTCAAACTTGAGAAGATCTGTTCAGGCATACACTCAAAATGTGTTTCAGCAGTAGAAACACAAAAGACAACTCCACTGAGTTCTTTCAAGCAAGTCTTGAACGTTGATGTGTGATTAGAATGAATGTTGATGTGTGATTAGAATGACAACTCAAAGATTGTTATTTTGGTATATGGTATCACAGTTGTCTTCTTTCTGTTATCTTAATATTTTATTTGGGGACTGTTTTTTTTAATTAAATTCTCCCTGAAGAAGTAGATGTCTCCTTCAGCTATGAAATAAACTATGCCTCGTGAATATTCTTCAGCAGAGATAATGAATAATTTCCTTACTGAAACAAGTAAAAAACACTTAATCAGATCCCCTGGTAAGTTTGTCATATGAAATAAATAGGCTAATCCACAGAATATCCTGTACCAGAAGGAGACTAGAGGAATCTTCTAGGGATATAGAAGCCTGAAGCTGACAAGATGGATTTCTTTTAGAGTAAAATGACATGTTCCACCAATAGGAAGGGTTCTTACTAGAGAGGTTTACTCAAAGTAGGATATGCCTGAAAAAAATTACCAAATTAACATTTCTTGTGGAACCCTACAAAACTGTAGAGTAAATTGCATGTCAAAAGAAACAACAGTTTTCTTATGATGAGGAAAGGGGATGGTCACATGGATAAGTGAGTGTTGTGACTGAAAGGATCGATCCTGCTGTGAGTTTTGACTCTGATGACTCTGAGGATGAAAGGCTGGAGCCTGCTGAGAATTTGGAGTCTGAATTATTAGAAGACACAGATGTGAGCCAGGGGGATGAGAGGTTATCACACAGACACTCTTCGCCTGAACCCTCGACCTCATTCATGCCAGCAATTGATCCACAAAATGAGTCAGAAGAGTCGAGCGAGGAAGCTGAAAGATCGTGGCTTGATGCCAGAACCAGAAGGAGGCTGAAACGTCAAGCTGTGAGGAGGCATCAAGCCAGACGTTGATTTAGGGAGATTGACACGCCCATCTAGGTGGTTTACGGAGGCAAACTCAGTTAGAAGGAGGAGGGCGAGTCAGTAATTAGCACGTTGCCTCAAGGAGCATAAAAGGACACAGCTGTGTGGGGGAAGATTGTCAGGAACAAAGTGTCGGATTGCGTGAAGAGGTTTTCAGCAGAGGCTCTGAGGTTCGAGAATTTGTGCCAGGACTGTTTTGCTGAACAGAGCGTGTATTATTGCTGTGGAATATAAATTATGACAGCCGTTATCTTGTAAGACTCCTTTCTGTTGGATTTAAGTTTTGGAACGGCTGCTTTTGGTTTTGTGTTGTTTGAACTCTGAAGGGGGAGCCATAACATTTTTGTTCCTGACCACAAACAAACCATCTTTGAAGCAAGATGGATTCAAATCAACTGCAGCGTTTGGTAGAGCAACAACAAGAACAAATAACTCAGCTTTTGCAAAGCAATGTGACGCTTCAGAATCAGGTAACTAACTCAATTGCTGAATTATGTTTTCAGCTTACCAAGCACTGCTGCTGCTACCCCTGCCCCTCCTGTGAGGAAAAGCCCGGTATCCATGCCAGAGAAATTTTCTGGGCAAATGGACAGGTTCCCAGCATTTATGGGTCAATGCCAATTGTTTATCTCTCTGAGGCCTGAAGACTTCCCAACCGACCGGGCTAAAGTAGGCTTTATGATCAGTTTACTAACTGGGCAGGCTGCCAATTGGGCTACTCCCTTGTTAGTTCAAGATAGCCCGTTATTGAACAATTTCCAGGGTTTCCTCCAACAAATGAGGGTGATGTTTGAGGATCCAATTAAGACACAAACTGTGGACAGACGGTTAATGGATATTAATCAGGGGAAACGTTCACTGCAGGAATACGTGGCAGAATTTCGTTTGCTGTGTATGAACTCTAACTGGAACGAACCGGCTCATATGGCTGCATTCCAGGAAGGCTTGTCTGATGCCATCAAGGATGAGCTAGTCCATGCAGAGCGGGCTTTAACTTTGGATGCATTGATAGTTCAGTGCTTACGTATTGAAGCTCGTTTACAGCAACGTGGGAGCAAACGGCCCGTTGTGGAACCACTTGTGTTTTCTCGCGCACGCATCACGCCACCGAGAGTTTTCCAACCCACGGTTCAGGCTGAGGAGCCGATGGAGATAGGCGCACTCCGCCCTCGCTTAACGGCGCGAGAACGCTCGAGAAGGTTCCAGGAAGGCTTGTGCCTTTACTGCGGGGGTCCGGGACATTTTGCAAATTCCTGCACTCAGAGAGGGACTCGCAGACCTGTGCCCGAAACCACTCCTGGCCCGTCGGGAAACAGGGTAGGCCCGACCTCGGGGAAACCCTAGGTCGGGCACGTTCTACACCCCCACCCCAACTTGCCGAGGTAAATCCTGGCTCTCCTCGGCATTTACTTTTGGACACTCATATATTTTTGCAGTCCCAGAAGGAGGGAATTCCTGTGGTTGCGCTGGTGGATTCAGGGGCTACAACCAGCTTTATGGACTGTGCTTTCGTTGAACATTTTGGAATCCCTTTGATTACTGTGGATCCACCCCTTAAGGTGGAAACTGTAGACGGGCGTGAACTCAAGTCGGGACCCATTCGCTTTGGCACTCAGCCAGTGCGTATGGTTATTGGGGATCATGAGGAGGCGATAAGTTTTTATGTCACCTCGAACCTCCATCTCCCTTTGGTGCTCGGAGTATCCTGGTTGCGTTTGCACGATCCGTTGGTGGCTTGGGCGCAGAACGCAATTTCTTTTCCAAGCCTACAATGTGTGGATCACCTGAGGCATGTCTGCGCTGGCCAAGATATCGCCGCTCCTGCTGTCTCCATACCTTCGGAGCTGTCGGATTTTTCCGATGTTTTCAGCGAACAGGAGGCAGACCGATTACCGCCACATCGTGCCTATGATTGTCCCGTGGACCTGATACCGGACGCTCCATTGCCCAAGGGGAGGTTATACTCTATAGTTGGTTGCACTCCGAGAGTTTTTAGATAAAAACTTAGCTCGGGGATTTATTCGACCCTCCTCATCCCCTCTTTCGGCGCCCGTTCTTTTTGTTAAGAAGAAGTCGGGAGAACTTCGTCTCTGTTGTGATTATCGACGCCTGAACTCTATCACCGTGAGGAATAGCTATCCCTTGCCGCTCATTCCAGAATTGATGGAGCGGTTGCGGGAGGCTACTATCTTCACTAAACTAGATCTGCGTGGGGCCTACAACCTGGTTCGGATGCGCAAGGGGGACGAGTGGAAGACAGCGTTTGGCACTCGTTATGGTCATTTCGAGTACACCGTCATGCCATTTGGTCTGACCAACGCTCCTGCTGTATTCCAGCATTTGATGAATGACATTTTCCGGGACATGCTGGATAGGTTTGTCGTGGTGTATTTGGACGACATTTTAATTTACTCCCGGTCCAGAGATCACCACCTTCAGCAGGTTCGCCAAGTGCTTCAATGTCTTCAGGAGCATAAACTCTATGCGAAACTGGAGAAGTGATTCTTTTTTCAGTCGTCGATAGAGTTTTTAGGGCACATCATTTCTCCTGAGGGCATTGCTATGGACCCTAAAAAGGTTGAAGCATTATGTAGTTGGGAAGCCCCTCGTCGAGTCAAGGACGTACAACGTCTGTTGGGATTCGCCAACTACTATCGGACTTTTATCCCGGACTTTGCTAAAGTAATGGACCCCATAACTCAGCTCCTCCGTAAGAAGGTTCCGTTTGTGTGGGGGGCCCCGCAACAACAGGCTTTTGACATTTTAAAGAAAGCATTTGTAGCCGAGCCGATATTGAGGCATCCTGATCCGAATCGTCCATTTGTGGTCGAGACCGATGCCTCTAATGTTGCTATCGGAGCGGTACTGTTACAAGCTGCGAAAGATGGCGTGCCCCTTTTCCCATGCGCATACTATTCTAGGAAGCTCACAGCTTCAGAGCGCAACTACACCATCTGGGAAAAGGAGTTGTTGGCCATTAAGGCTGCTTTTGAAACTTGGAGCCATCATTTAGAGGGGGCTCGACACAAAGTAGAGGTTCGGACAGATCATCGAAACTTGGAACATTTGACCACAGCTAAGAAATTGAACCAACGCCAGATTCGGTGGTCGTTGTTTTTTGCCAGGTTCAATTTCTCCATTACTTATGTTCCAAGTGGACAGAATCGGAGAGCCGACGCGTTGTCTCGGAAGCCCGAGTATATCGGTCCTGAGGATCCTATTCCTGTACGAACTGTGTTACCAACAGAATCCTTGGCCGTACTGCAAGATCCTGTAGACTTGCGGGCTCGCATACGAGAGGCGCAACGATTAGACGCGTGGACGCAGCAGAGAAGGGGAGAAGTTGGACCTGATTCCCCATGGTCCTTTGAAGAGGGCTTGTTACGACATCGAGACTTGTTGTATGTACCCAACAAGACGCTTAGAGCCCTCATCATGACACAATGTCATGACAAACCAGCTGCTGGTCATTTTGGTTTTCACAAAACCCTGCACTTGGTCACCCGGACTTTTTGGTGGCCTCGGGTTCGACACGATGTGTCTTCTTATGTCACTTCTTGTATACAGTGTCGACAAGCGAAAGCGGCATCGGGTGCGCCTCCTGGACTTTTTCAACCACTGCCGACTCCAAGCAGACCATGGGGAGCGATCTCCATGGATTTTCTAATGCACTTACCCCTTTCGTCGGGTTGTACGACGGTGCTCGTGGTGGTTGACATGCTCACTAAGATGGCCCATTTCATCCCATGTAGAAGATTACCCTCGGCTCATGTTACTGCCCGGCTTTTCATACAACACGTATTCCGTTTACATGGCTTACTGGATAGAGTTGTTTCAGATCGCGGTGTTCAGTTCACCGCTCAATTCTGGAAAAGCCTAATGAACGCTCTACGAATACAAGTATGTTTAGCATCGGCACATCATCCGGAAACCGATGGCGGGACTGAGAAGGTAATTGGCATCCTCGCCCAATACCTCAGATGTTTTGTCAATCAACGACAAAATGACTGGGTGACCTATCTTCCATTGGCAGAATTTGCCTTTAATAATTCTTGGCACACCTCCACCCACATGACACCTTTTTATGCCAATGTGGGTTATCATCTGAGGTTTTTCCCACTATCAATCGCGGATTCTCCAGTTCCGGAGGCACGAGATTTTTTGTCGGAGTTATATGCGGTACATCAATTAATTTCTAGACAATTAGAATGAGCGAAAGCCGATTATAAGTGTTTCGCCGATCGTTCGCGTCGGGCGATGCCTCCATTGGCTGTGGGAGACAAGGTGTGGTTGTCAACGAAACATCTTCGGGTCGATCGTCCGATTAGGAAGTTGGATCATCATTTTATTGGTCCCTTCCCTATCGAGGCAGTTATTAATCCGGTAGCTTATCGACTTACTTTACCGCGCTCCATGCGCATTCACCCTGTTTTCCATCGCTCCCTGTTAATACCTGACACTCCATCGTGTAATCTTCGTTCTCCAGAAGATACCGGTTCTCCATCCAGGCTCAGCACTGAACCTATTACGGATACTACAGTGATCGGAATTTATGATTCAAGATGGTTAAAGGGAAGATTCCAGTACTTTGTGGGAAAACTGGACAATGAAACAGAGATTCGCTCTTGGCAGGATGTATCCAAGGTGCATGCCCCAGATCTTATTCGCATATATCATGCACAATTTCCTTCAAAACCACATCCTGATCGTCAGACTCGGGGGAAGGGCCCTGCGGTGAGGGATAGTGTTGTGACTGAAAGGATCGATCCTGCTGTGAGTTTTGACTCTGATGACTCTGAGGATGAAAGGCTGGAGCCTGCTGAGAATTTGGAGTCTGAATTATTAGAAGACACAGATGTGAGCCAGGGGG